TGTCAGTGAAAACAAATTGTCCTCTCGGATTGTTCTTGAGGTACGACAATTAATCACAGCATTAATAACATTTTCTCCAAGCTGGCGGAGGAGAAAGCCTGGAAAATCTCTCGAAATTAATGCAAAATTGTATGAAATTAAATGCCGTTTATGAATACTAGGCGTATACGCAATGCCGGAAATTAAACATACGCTATACGGCAGCAGAAGGATTGTGGGGCCCCAACTTAAAGCGGAAGTTAATTGTTATTCAGAAAACATAATACGAAAAGCGAAGACTGGAAAGAGGGAGCCTCTGGGCGTCGGTTTGGCAAGTTCTGCCCAAGATGATGCAGAGCATAACAAAAACTTTAATATTTAAATATGAAAAACTATTTATGTAAGACGCTAAACAAAACAGAGCAGACACACACACACAGCTCTGGTCAAACACAAGCAAAAGCAAACACCAAATGTAAATTATGAAATTGACACTACGGAAAAGGATGGGCTGGTGAATGCCTTATACAAATTATTTAATATAAGAAATTTAACAACTCATTAAATTTGGTAAAACAAGTTATAAATATAGGAAGTAACCACTACTTGAAAAATCATAAATTTAATAGATTTCAAGATATATTAAAGGGACTCTCCCCTTGTTCCTTGAATCGGAATACTCTTTTAATGCCCTATCCCTAAGCTAAGCCAGACCCATAGCCTTTACTCGTCCTTCTCAACCCTTTTGTTGCTCCCTTCAGTTCAGACGAATGCAAAAGTTGCCTTCCGCAGACTGCAATGAGGATGGCCTCGTCCTTTCAGCAGGGTCGCATCTTTTTGGTGGCCGCAGCGCGATGCGAAAATTTTAATTTATACATTTTCATCTGCATCTGTGTGTGTGTGTGTGTGCGTGTGACTTCCTGTTGCAAAATGGAGTTTTGTGCATGCGAGCGAACAGAAGTTTGCACAACTTGTTTATGATTTCTCATGTCAAATACGCTGCAAAAGTGCCTCGGTGAGGGCGTGTCTGCAGATGCAGTTGAAATAAGTATCTACAAGTTCGGGCCTCTATTTCGCACTAGAGAAGTTTGTGATTTACTATCCGGTTGTAAAAGTGTGTGTGTGTATATATAAGTGGGGAGAGTGTGCGTTGCGAATCTTGTAGAGCATGCTTTAAGGCGCCGGAAGTGCAGTTTATGACGCCATTTTCTTGGTGGAAGTTTCAACAAGAGCTCTATGAAAATACCACTACGTTTATAAAACTATTTATCTTCCATTTTGTTTGAGAATATATATTTTTATTTCATTAAATGGTATATTAAATCGTGATATGTTTGGTTTTTTCCCCCTTCAACTGAAAACACTTAAAGTCTAGACACTCGTCCATTTAATATGACACCATGAGCCATGTTTTTTCATCTGTTTAAAGTGTGGATACTCATTGGCAGACAGACAGGGCTGAAACTCCAAACCAGAAAGTTTTTACGATTGCTGTTTTTTTTTTTTTTTTTTTTGCATTAAATGCACTTTACGCAGGGAAATCTTTTTATGCGCCTGGGAGCACGCTTCAGTATAATTTGCGGTCATGTTCATTGATCTCCTGGGAAGCATTAAAATTTAATGATTTATACTATGTTGCGCGGAGTCTGCAAAGGGGGGAAAAGCGCGAAGCATCAGGGGCCCGGGGGCAAGGGCAAATGAATTTATGTTATGTCTCCGCTGCTATTTCGGTTTAAGGGTTAACATTGCGAAATTAACAACAATTTGACTTATGCGCGGGGGAGGAGCAAGTCATACATACACGCACACACTCATGTGGCCCGGAGAACAATGTCTGAAGCCTAAAAGTATGCTAAACAGCCAGCAAAAGTCATAACTCAGACCCGCTGGCCGGATTTTGGGGCCAAGGGAACTTGGCGAAAGGTGGAAATGTGGGCTGCAACTATTAATCAGGCTTTAATTGTTTTTGTGTGCGTCGCTCGGTTACATTTGTGGTGCCAGATAGGCCAACACACACACACATACAGAGGCAGCCCCTCGCAAGGATCCTCTCAGTGGGTCTGTGGGCCGTAGGCACCATGCATCATGTGGCCGAAATCTTTTTGTAATCTCTGGCATTTGTCTGGATTTTTCGCAAAGACTTTGAATAGATTTATGCTCCTTTGACAGGCACAAGATGTGAATGCGAATCTCTGCGAGAGTAGAAGTCTCGCATGTAAGTATGGGCGAGCTTAAAGTATCTTAAAGATACGCCACTGCCAGCCAAGTAGCCATGAGGGACATTTATAAGGCTCCAAGTCAAGGAACCCATGTACTTTGGGTGACTCTAAAATATAGATCGAAAGTGAACAGAGAGTTTAAAATTATTTAAAACAAATTTGCATTTAAATTATGAAGTATTTTGTATTAATACATATATAATTATATATTTCTTAAGAGCTTCTTAAGAGCTTTTGCTTGCAATTCACAAGGTTTTGACTTTAATCCCTTAAAATACTTAATAGTTTCAAATTTCGATTCCAAAAACCAGTAGAATAATAGCAGAAAATCTTCATGAAGTAATAGTTGGAGAAGAATCCATGGAAGAACCCTGTTGCCCACATAATGGTTAAGCAGTTGGACACCTGTAAATTTTCAACCACACCTCGTCCTTCAGCTTTGCCATGTTTTTTTCACCGGCTTTTCTTTCTGCTCCTTTTATCCTTCGCACTGTCTCTTATCATTGCCGGGGCATAAATCACGCGTTTAGTTTGCCAAGTGGCCTTTTCGACCGCTTTGCGTTTAACTGTCGTTTTGGCCACTTTCACGTTGGGCTCGTTGGTCTGGCGACCGGCGAGGGCGAACCAACATATTTAGAATATATGGCAACACTTTGGCAAACCGACACAACCCTTGACCACAGCAAGTGCGGAATGTAAAAAATAAAGCCCGCCGAACAGAACACGGAGAGTCCGAAAACACAGACGATTGCGCAACCACAGTGCAAAAACCACTCCAAGTTTCGCACACAAACACACATAGCCATAGGTCCTGGGAGGAGTGTAGTTGTAGTTGGGTCCTGTGTTGTCACTGCCAGTGTTGCCAGCAACCAGGACACAACAATGGCGAACAACAAGGCCCTGCTGGCTGGCCACACAAACTTGTAACGTAAATTTTGTATAAGCCCTCGCCAACAACACACACCCTCGACCAGTTTCGGCATTTGGCATTAAGATCGGTGCAATGATAATTTTTCAAAACAGCTGCGGAAAACCATATTTATTTAATTTTAAAGGTAATTTGATGAAAACATAAAAGCAGGGCTACGATGATACAAATACTAGGAAAGAAGATACTAAAACCATTGATAATGCTTACTTGAAAGTAACTTTTATTTGGAATTTAAATCATTTAGGTTTATTTATTCATTTGAATAGATAAAGCAATGCTTTAAATTTATAGTAAAAACGCATCATTGAATTCGTATGGAGTCTATGAAACAAACAATTACTCTTCAATTAGCCTATTGCCAATTTAATATTTGCTCTATACAAAAAAATGGTTGAAGCTTTAAAAGTAATAATATTCTTTATTTTGTGACTGCCTAATCAGCCAAGCGTTAAGTCTGACTGCCGAAAATATATATTCCTGTGTGCATCCAATTGTACAATTGTCTCGATTTCTGTTTGTCTGCCAAAATGTCGAACTATGGACGGCCTTCATGTTTACATTAGTATTATTGTTTATCAAACAATAACAGGAACAGCAAGAACAACCATAATAGAGAAGTTGTTAAATCGAAAAGACATAAAAGTATCATTAAACTTTCGTGTCTGGCAATTGGTTTGGTTTGCTTAGGGTTTTGGCTGGAATTTGGCTGCTGTTTTTACGATTTTATTCAACGTTTTTATCTGGTGTCTTTCGGTTTGGCAGACAGAAAATTCACATTCTCATATATTTTGTTTAGTTGCTTGTTTGCCAAAAATCTCTGTCTGTCTGTCTGTCTGCCATTCTGATTATTTATGCACAGAAAACAAATACGATGTGCCGACAGAAAGGACAACCAAGTCAACTCATGAGTCTCCCTCGTTGCTCTCGTGCTTCAATTGTTTTCACTTTTCTGTTACGATTTTCGGCATCAAAAATTTATTGATATTTGTTGATGGATTATACGAGTTATGCTGACAGAATCTGTTGATTGAATAAAATCCCATTCTGTGAAATATTAATTTAAAAACAATGCATCAGCCTCAAATTGAATTCATTATCGAAAAATTCGGCAACATTCTCCGAGAAGCCTTCTTCCCTTTACCTTAGAACACACATGTTCCTGGCGAACATGACACGCCTCCTTGCTGCAAGGATTGAGCTCATTACTTTTTCGACTTCAAAATATGCAAACAAGGCAGAACACGCAACACAGGAGCTCGAACTAGTCCGTCCAGACAGCAAAAAACACAATAGACCCCAAATAGACTCCACTGCAATGGAGCGTTTAATACTCTTCTTGAGCAGCAAATAAGCCCCAAGATGTGTTTGTTGGAACACAGTTTATGATTAATTATTTATGGGAACAAATAGGCCTGTTTAATCCCAACAAGCCTCGCTGAAAATCGATTGGTTTATCTTAAATGACGCATTAGATGAATATGTATATGTATTTGTAAGGTCATGGCATCCCGATTAAGTCTAGAGTACCTGCAAGCATTTAAGGATAAGCCGTAAATATATTCACAAGAGGTTAGGCGGTTGGCAGTTCGGGGGCGTCGTGAGACTGGCGAAACAATGGAGCTCATCAGCAGGAACAGGAACGCATTGAAAATTGGAAAATCCTTTCAATGCTGTGCGAAAAATACGAGATTCAATGGAAAAATGTTTTTCTGCACAAGTGCCCATCACAGACACACGCACAAGCAATGGGAATGGGTGTCAATGGAATCCTTGATTTAACCCTTGTACCGACATGCTAGCAGAGATTTAACCGAACCGCAAGTCAAAGTCGTTATAGACGTGGAAAGTCTTTAGAAAAAATACTAAACAAATAGGAGGATTATATGCTATATGCTTTAATGGTTCATTAAATAATACAATACAGTATTGTCAACACTTGTAACCATTTTTACTAACGAATAACTGGCTCTCCGTCCAGTTTCTTGAGATTGGGCAAACGGCGGATTGCCTCGGCAGCAAAGGCAGCCGGCTCCATATTTTCGCTAAGGATATTGCCCACAAAGCTGATGTCGGAGAGATTGGGGGGAATCCCCATGCGTCCAAACTCCGCCCAATCCTTGATCACATTGTGCGAAATATAGAACACCTTAAGGGCCTTCATTACCTCCAGGGGCTTGATTTTCTCAATGTTATTGTAGCTGACCCACAGCTCCTCCAGGGTATCGGCCAGCGGCTCAATGCCATTGAGCGCTTTCAGATTGTTGCGTGCCAGGCTAAGGACACGCAAATTCTTCATTCCCGAAATGCCGGAAATCTTCTCGATCATGTTCGAGGAGAGGCTCAACTTCTGGCACTCGGTCAGGCTGTTTAGGACTGGGTCCATCTTCTCAATCGGTGGATACTGGAACTGCAGACCGATTTCAGTGGCCGTTGCCAGTGGCTGCTTATTGCGTTCCTCCCACTTGGCCAGGGCATCCTTAACGCTAGTGGGCTTGGCCATCACTAAGCTTTTGTGATAATGGAATCAAAATGAAAATAATTCTGGAAAGCTGAGTGAGATACTACTGTCACCTTAGACTGTAATTACAAGGTCTCCTTTTGGTTGGAAAATATAAACTGCTTTGCTTTTGGAAACTTTAAAGTAACAAAGAACCCGAACTTCGTTGGTGATTAAAATATATTGGAAGCCCGCCAGTCAATCCTTCATTTCATACATATGTATATGAACTATGAAATACTCCCTTTAATATGTATACTTTATATATATTACCCCTCAAAATTTTGTATGCTCGCGTTAAGCCAACAATAACAATGCATCGCACACAGAATATTTAGTTTGGCTTTGTACATTTATTATTTATTAATATTAATCGAGAGTTTAACACGAGCCCAGAGCTCTTAAAGCTGTTTGAGCTTTGGCTTTAAGGTCGGCGCTCTTGTGACTTTAAAGAATTTTCTAGCTGAGGAGACAGAGCCACCTGTGTGGGCTAAGTAGATGACTTGCGGCCCCGGGGTAATTTATTTATTTGCGCATGTGCCCGCTGCTCCCCATTCGCTGGCTGAATTGCCCGTCTGGCGCACAATGATAACTCCATTGGCCGGGGTCCTTTGTTCTGGTCTGGTCTGGGCTTGGGTCTGGGCTTGGATCTGGGACTGGGTTTGGTCCCCGTACTGGAATCGAGGGGCTCCCATTGTCATATGCTACCCTTCGCCTACTTTGCTGCCGTTTTGTGTCATTTTTGGGGCGGGGGCTGGAACTGCTTTGTGTCAGAGGCCTCTTCGGCACTTTATTACACACATTTGAGGTGATAATACAGTTCACATTTAGCCCCAAGGGGTTCGCTTTCTGCTTTTTTTTGCCGGCAAGTCTGCTCTGCCGTTTGTCAAACAATTTTCCATTGGGTTTGTTTTTTATTGGGCATTTTTCGGGGGCTGCCTTTAAATTGTAGCAATTTGATTAAATATTTGCAGCAGCTGTTATCGCGTATACAGCCAGTTATTTTTGGGGCTATAAATTATTGAATTTATTTGTCCAAAATGGCGGCAAAGAGAAAATTTTGCAAAATTGGGCCACCGCTTTTCGTTATTTTCCTTGATAATCGTCCAGAAATTGGTAAAAACATATTTGCTGCCCTTTCCTTTTTTCAGTTTTCCTCCTTTTTTATTTTTTGTGATTCAAATAGAATTTGTGATCCCATAAATCGAGTGCTCAATGCGGCAGAACTGACGCCCCAAGAACCACCACTAGAAGGGACGGCAGTGGTGGAGATGGAAAATGATTCGCAATTGCATGCAAAGTCTAATTTATGAATTGGCCAGAGGCACACCAGCGATGAGAGGTGTTCGGATGAGTGGGTATCGGTGTTTGGCAAGTGGAACATGTCAGTGGCGAGGGCGTGGCCACAGGCCAGTTGTCGGGGCAAAGCCAAAAAAAATTGGCCAGCAAAGTTGGCCAACAGGGCGGCGGCGGCAGCGGGCAATTTTCATAAAAGTATTTGCGATAAAGTTGCAGAAAATGCGAGGCAAGTATGGCAGGGCTGAAAAGTGTCAAGCTGTCATTCCCAAGATTGTTGGGATTCCCAGTCAGATCAGGGATTTGCTCACATATTTTAAGATATCAAAACTAAAACATAAATATTAAAACTTGCTACAAAGCGTAAACCGTTTAAGGTGATCGTTTCTAAAATGTTTCTAAACAATTAAGCATGGGCTGCAAAGTGGCCTCACCTCTGTGTGTCCATATGGAATCCTCCACTATCACGAAGGGAAATAATCATATGGGGAGGTGTGTGTGGTAGCGCCAGTAGCCACAACATGTCCTGTCATCCAGCACCGTGCTGGATGTGGGCATGCGGTAAATGTTCCAGTTGTTGACAGCCATGTTTGTACTGTTTAGTTTCAGTTAACAAGATGACAAACAGCGGCAGCAGAGAACTGGCCAAATGGCTAACCATAATATATGATTTTGTTTTTGGTATGAAATTTGGCAACATTCTTTAAAGAAAACTGCAATCTTTTGTTAAATATTTAGGTTCCCTTAAAGTTATCAGAGCTAACATTTAATTCGCACAAGTTTATGGACATTGTGTTAAGTTTTCCCCGAGTCACTGTTCCGAGAGCGGCAAAAGTCTGCCAAGGACACCTACTTCTTCGCTTGCTAGTCCTGTTTGTGTTCTGCGTGACGCAAAACTTTTATCTATGAAAATATTTTTTGCATAAAACACCTGGCCACACTCAGACCGATATCGGAAGGGAAGGGAAAAAGGGGGGCTTTTGCATATTGAAAACTTTTGCATTGGACAAACAACATGGTAGAGTATTGTCTGATAACAAGCGATGGAAGAGATAGATGGTTGCCCAGGTTCTACTTGTTGGCTGGTTACACTTTTTCGAGGCAGCCTGCGAAAGTTTCTTTTGTATAAACACCGAGAGCGTTTCCCAACTTGGCCAACATATTTTCCAAGTCATAAACAAAACCAGTTAACTAATAACGGCCATCAATTTTGTTCAAAACACTACAAGAAGCTAACTTCAAATTACATAGATCACACCTTAGAAAAGGCATTTGACAGTCTCAAAATTCGCATCACTGGATGCCAATAAGTGTCTGCGTTTTGAAGAATGAAGTGTTATTGCTCATTGTCTGAAGTTACAGAATGCGCAGCTATAAATTTGGCACACACACACACACGGGCGGCGGTTTAATGAGTAATCAATAAAGCTGTTCGATTGGCATTCAAAGGCTTCCGCAGCGACAATAGACAAATATTGCCCCTCGTAATTATCAATTTCAAGTGCAGTCATCGTAGCCTTTGTTTGCAGCAATCATAAACGTCGGTTAGAGTGCACTCAGAAAAAAATTTAATAAAGCGAGTTGTTTGGGAAGAGTTCGGTAAATGTGGCAAATAAAAATATAAATTAAATGTGTTTACATATGAAATATACTTCTCTTGAGATGTAATCACTCTAAATACTATTTAGTATATTTAATTTAAAAAATTAAGAAAGGAAGCTAACTTCTGCACGCCGAAGTTCATATACTAGACTTGGAATCTATACAACATAAATTATATATTTTTATGTTAAAAAACAATGAAGTAGTTAGTACCTGCTTTTATTTCATTCACCTATACATACAGATTCACAGATTTTAATTTTTGCTCCACATCTAATGATCGTTATGTTTGGCAAATAAATGATATAGTCGACACCAAATTTAAGACTAATATAAAATGGTTTTATCTTAAATTTGATGAAAATCTGTCGAATTATAATGTTATAATTTTAAATTGAATTAATTTCTCGATCGTTCCTATGGGGGCTATATGGGAGAGTAGTCCGATATGCATGACATTTTACACAAAATTGTAGATTAATATATATATCATATATCTATATATCAAATTTGATTAAATTCTGTTGAAAACTGAAAATGTTATAATTTTTTTGGTAAAAATTTTCCGATCATTCCTATGGCAGCTATATTTATATGGTCGGAGGTGCCTCCTTCACTGCGTTGCAAACTTCTGACTGAATTTATAATACCCTGCAAGGGTAAATTAATGTTATATTTATTTAGCTAGACAGCTTAGTTTCTTAAAGTGAATCGAATGTCTTGGCCAAACGATTGAACCTTCTCCCCTCCTGCGTCCTGCTCCTCTGGAATCCTGATGACTCAACTGGAAGGACGGCTTGTCTATTTGTGGTTGTGTAACTCAAAACTCGATTGCAATTGCATGTGTGCAACGGCGGGCGGACTTGTGGTGCGGTGAGACGTGAAATTTGGGCATCTCTCCGGCAGCAATGTTGTATTGATTGGGGAGTTACGAGCCAACGGAGTGGGCCAGATGGAGTCGAGAACTGCAGCGAATCGCTATTCCGGAGAAAGAGCAGAGCCCTGCAGATTTCAGCCTTCAATTAGTGTGTGTTTGTTTGCTGCTGCTCCTGCTGCTGCTTCTGCTGCGGTATCAAGTTCCCTTCAAAGCCAGGATAATATAGGCCGTAACTCGGTATCCTTATGAAAGGGCATGGGCCAGATTAATGCGAATAATCCTTACGGCTGGGATGTTAACTTCGATGTTATCTGGCAGATTATTGAACGGTTACACAAGTGCTTGAATTTACAGATTGATGAATATATATTTCATTGTAATAATTGCTTTAAACTTGGCTTAATGTTAAGTGCTTGTGCAAGCTTGGAAATAACCCAACTAGAACTAGGTATAAGCATTATATATTTGTGTAACTAGATCATTATCTAAATACTACCTTCTAATTCTATTAATTAAATGAAATTATTATTTTCCTAGTCCCTTTATTAGGCTCTTCTGGGGGAAACCAATTGCATCTGCAAGATGCAACCCAAATTCATCTTGCTCTTGCTAATTTGATTACGGCTAGGAATAAGGAGGATAAGGCAGGACACAGCTTAGGGCACCCGGAGAGGACATCAGGACATGACTTGTGTGATGTGTGGAAAATGCGGCAGGGCAAACATTTTATAATTTACTGCAGCACGACGCATCGCATAAGTCAGCAGCAGCAGCAGCAAGGAGCTTCGTAGAGGTCACTGGGCTGCGATGGGGACCCTTACTGGCCGAATCCTGGCGCACATGAGACAGGAGCAAAAGGGAGACGAGGGGCTGCCGCATTCAGCAGGCTGGCTGCATGCGAACTTTGTTCCGGCGACTCGCCGCAAATGGCAAATGATTTTGCAGCTGACAGTTGTCCGTTGCCATTTGGGGAATTTAGTGTTAATTATGGTCGTAATAAGTTATATAACATCAGGCAGCAAGCCCCAGTCCAGTAGGCTCCTCTCCTCCCGGAGATGTCACAGCCCGACGACAGTCTGTCAGTCAGCCTGCCTGCGATGCGAAATAGTATCCGCAGGCCGCACGAAATTGTAGTAAATGCAGTGTGTTTAGGTAGGTCAGCCGACCGTAGAACGATTGTCCATAAGGACTCACCACTGCATGATGTCCTTACCCAAGAAGTGCTGCTCCTGGGCTAAGATCTATTGTTTCCGCTTCTATCAGTAGTCTTTGCTATCACTTTTAATAAAAGATTATGTTCTGTAGTAAGGGAAATGTAGCTAAAAAGAAACTAGCCCGCTGT